CCTTTGCACAGAGAAGAGGCTAATTAAATTTTCATGTAGATAATCATGAGCTAATCCACTGTTAATTGTGCCTCTTTCCAACACAGTGGCTCCCTCATGGGATCCAACATTATGCCCATGCAGCATTTCCTTTGCTTAAACGCCTCTTAGATTTAATGGACTCTTCCATAAAATGATCCTCAGCAGCTCCTCGCACACGACCACACAAAGCTTGAACGCATCCATCAACAATAATCCCCTCAATGATCTCCATTTTATCTTTTCACTCCCCTCCTCTGCCTCCTCCTCCTCCTCCTCCTCACTCATGTCCCTACACAGGGCTTAATTACTGGCCTGAAGTAATTATATTCCTTTATTAGTGAAACATAACATCTGTTTCAGGTCTCTTTAATTGTACCTATAAAACCCTTCCATGATTTCTGTCCCTTTAGGATAGAACTGGGCTGCTTGTTGCTCCCTGCGGACTCCCTGCCTTCTTCCCTCTAAGCCTCCCCCTTCATACCCGCAGCATGAGCCCCAGCGCACCTAACTCAATCACACTCTTTGACATCCTTTAAAGAAGCAACGAGGATCTCATCAGCAGATACACACAGTGAAAGAGAAAGCAGGAATCAAATTATTACTGCACAGCTATGTCCACATTTTGTGCAGTCTTGCATCCCTCCTCCAAACTTCTCAGGGTTGTATTTTTGGTAAAAGCATGCATTAAATTCCAAAGCAACATATTCCCAAATGCCAAAAGAAAAGGCCGGCTGCAGGGACTGGTACACGGGAGCGTGGGAATAAGGGACGGAGGGTGGAAGGAGTGAGATTCCTGAGGTCCTGGGGAAATTTTGTCCCTGTATTAATAGACTTTAGTCCCTTTGAAATTTTATTAGCCATAAAGTTGACAGTATGTTGTGCAATTTCTACAGTCCTGTAGACCTTTCTTCTTTAAGTTTTTACTCCTATTTAAACAAACCAGTCGTGCCCTGGTGTCCAAACAATTCAACACCAAAGTTTATCTTTCCCTCAACTGATGCTTGCAACTACACAGGGAGAACAGGTGTCATCGTCAAACTGAGACCTCCATGGAATAAATAAATCTATAAAGGCCTCACATAGTCATTCCAGCAAACACTGGCCAGTGAGTTGAAGACAGTCCGACTTTGCTGCTCTGTCCTTTTAGCGCTCTCCCTCTTAATTTTTATGGTTCCTGCACCTTCAGGAAATGACCCTTTTATAGGGTCAACACTATAAAAGACTTGTTTTTTTGTGGGAGTGGTTAGTAGATGGGTGTGTGAGTGAGCGTGTGTGTGTGTGTGTGTGTGTGTGTGTGTGTGTGTGTGTGTGTGTGTGTGGGGGATAAGTGTTCAAGTTACTACCGGTTCGTCTTTGCTGCCAAAGAAAGAGACCCGATGAGGTTAATAGTCTCCTCTTCCAATATATCACATAGCTGTGAACTCTGTGACCCTTTTTGTCAATAGGAGAACTTTTCTCTGGAGTGTGTGTGTGACTGTGTGTGTGCATGTGTGTGTGTGTGTGTGTGAGAAAGAGAGAGAGAGCATCCTTTGGCATCTACACGAGTGTGCACATGTGGAAATTTGTACATTGAAACCTTTACATGTGCAGAGATGTTAATTTTATTTACTCCAGAGATGTGTAAGCCTGTGCTTGAAGTGAATGTGCCATCTTAGCAGAATTACATAATCTTACCAGTATAGCACTTTGTTATGGCCTACACAAAGTCACGTGGACGAGGCAAAATGTGGGTAAAAAACTTACGTTTCAGACATTTCGAGAGTAGCTGAGCTGATCACAAGAAATGTTTCCAAAGTGATCTTCATTATCTCTAAGGCTCATTTTTGAATTCTATTGAGAATAAAGTGTTTCTCTGCAAACAGTCACTGATTTTCACATTGTGGCCACACTGATATGTCCTTTTGCAGGAATGAAATTCAAACTTGGAATAAAGTCTGGTAAAGAGGGTAAGCCAGTGCTGCTCTCTGCTGGATTCTCTGTTACTGGACAATCTCAAAATTACTGTCATAGCAAACAAATTATCCCACAGCAGAAATCAAGAATATACAAAAAACTGCTCATGAACAAGTTGTGACCGTCAGTGATGATACAACCACAAAGGCAGTGATCCATGTCAACAGAGGTGCAACGGTTCCTTTAAATGCTACTTTTCATACGCTCCAGGAGAACAATTATCAACTATTTCCAGTTATTTCTTGAAGTGAAAAAAATGTGCATTCAGTCAGCATCAAAACAAACAGAGAGAGACTGAGGGACAGAAAGGAGGAGAAGGTCAGATGGCAGAGGAAGGTCTGGTCGAAACGTCTTGGAAAGGTGACAAATGGGAGACTAGTGGGGTCCAATCCTCACCCCACCTCTGGCAAAACAAAACCAAGCTCCAAAATACACACACTGCTCACACGCTCGCCACAATGACACACATACATCAACACATACAAACTCCACACATCAGTATTTGCATATATATGTTCATTCAAACAGATTAGTTAATAAACAGTCAACACTCATTCCCTGCTAGAAAATGACCCTGATAAACTGAGCTAATAAATTGAGCCATTTTTATGTGCGAACAGCAATCGGAGCCGTTACCTACACAACGCACTGTATGTGGGGAGATGTTTTAGAACATAAAGTGCTGCACTATGATATAAATAGCTGTACTTTTCCATGAAATTTCATAGTAATTAGAGACCAAGAAGCATGGACCCTCTCAACCCCCACTGCGGCACCCACGTACCTTGAGTGAATACTAAGAAGCAACTCTGGCACAGGTCCAGTTCAGTATGTACTGTGTGAACCCACATGGCCCATCAAAGGCAGTGTGCACGACCGTGAAAGGGTGATTGGGTTCGAGGTGCGCAGGGAATAGTGTTTGAAGTCCTCCTTCTATCAGAGAGACAGAAAAAGGCACTTTTAATCCTGTGGGATCACTAAGGCGCCACAGGCAAAAAAGAGATGCACTCATTCTCTCAACTCTTCCATGAGTACCGGAGAAAAAGGAGAGAGGGAAAGAGGGAGAGAGGAAGGCTAACGGGGAGGAATGTGTGGGCGGGGTGAGATTGTGATGATGTGTGTGTGTGTATATTGTACAGATGATAAGAACTGCAGCTGACATAAAGAAATGAGACATATAGAACATGAAAGGAAAAGCTGTAACATGAGATACAGCAGTAAAGTCAGTCATTACCTCCTCAGAAACATGCACTTAGCCAGCATCATCCACAATACCTTTCCTCTGGCTAGAGAGGGTATCCAATCACTTTGCATGGTCTTCTGTGTGTGTGCGTGTGGTTACTGTGTAGATGATGTGTGAGTTTCATCTTGTCTCTATTTACAGGTGCAGATGGAATAATCCAATATGGGGCTGATGTGCTCATCAGAGAGATCACAGCATGTTATTACAGAAAATCTCTGTTGTCAGATTGAATCACGTATGTACCCTGAGTGTTTGTGTACGAGATAGACAGATAGATAGATAGAATGATAGATAGATAGATAGAGAAATAGACAGGAAGGATACAATGTTTAAGTTGTCGACAAGGTTTTGCAAGGACAGTTTTGCAGGTGGTATTTGAAAATTATTTTAAAAAAACATGCAGGAACAGAAATGATTCAGATGACCTTTAACCCTACAGTTACAAATGTCCACTGATGTTTTTTGTCTGTTGTAGTCACAGAGACAGGTGGGAGGGTGATCGCATTGTTATACGATGAGATATTAAAATACACCTGGACCAATGCATTCAAAATATAAAGTTATACAAATGGTACACCCACTACTTCAACCCACTAATCCAAATAGATAGGACAAATGACAACTCAAAGGCAGAATTTTTACAACATACATATGATTTTGCTAAGAGTTTCGCAAGTGGTATGTAAAAATAATCAAGATCATAACTATTTACAACTAAATCTAACGATAGATAGCTAGATAGATAGATAGATAGATAGATAGATAGAGATTTTTGTTCAGTCATGGAGTAAAGGGAGAACAAACAGATGATTTGGAGTGTGTTTCCTCCGCCTTGTGCAGAATATATTACGTGTGTAAATGTTGTTGAACCCCGCAATTCTGCAGGAAAAGGTCACACACTCCCCTCGACACTAAGTGATTCTCTGTCTTTGTGTACTCGTGGTGGAAAAAAAACGAGCTGCGCCTATAAACTTCGCATTTAAAAGGCAAGTGCGGCCGAGGGGGGCCGCTGCATGAGGGGAACAATAGCAGCTTTTTGGACACACTTTTTCTCACTGCGATGAACAGCAGGGAAACCGGTAGAGGCTCCTATAAAAGAGCGATAGAGCACAGCTGCCAGGGTTCAACAGTAATTTTATAAAACGTCTCCAAGGGCCCCGGCCTGCGGTTTATCTGTGGATTTATGGGAAATGAGAGGGCAAGCAAATTGTCAGGGGGCAATAATCGCAGGGCCTCATGCACGACGTGATCATAACTCCAGAATTTAGGGGCTTTTATGCAAAGCAGGACATAAAGGCTAAAAGTGATGCAAGTGCCAAATGCTGCATTATCATTAATAATGCACTTGACATTCAAGCGGCTGTGACGCGCGTTTAGCATCAAAAATATGATCTGGAAGGGTAGAAAAGTTTGGACATGACAGCAGGATGGTGCACGAGCAGCTAAATAGTAAGGACTCAGCCCTCCATCAGCATCCTCATCATCATGAAAACAAAAGTTCATCGGGCATATTGGAGCTGTCTTTCTCAGGGTGACGAGGCTCTTGCTGCTAAGTATTGATTTATCAGCTCCACGCGTAATCCCTATTTTGACGGCCGTGACCAACAGCTGACCAGAGCCATTTGTCTAATTTCATCAGTCAAACACAGAGTGGAGCCACCACCGTTCTCAACGTGAAAAAGTATGTTGGCACACTGACTTGACTTGAACCTATCTGCTCCACAATTACGCACACGACGCATTTGGGGACAATATTGTTGGGGGGTTATAAACGACTACTCACGCTCAGAGGCCATGGTGATCACGGACTCCGTGGTGGCGTGGTACTCATCCTCCTCCATAAACTCATCCTGGGACGACGCGTCCCCCTGGAAGTCGTGGTGGTCCAGGAGCTGCTGGAGCGGAGGCGCCTTGGGCAGCAGCTGGTTGACCACCTCACGGCTGATGTTGGGCGCCTGCTTCAGACGCAGCTTGCTCAGGATCTGGGACTTGATGGTCTCCAGCCTCAGCACTTTGCTCTGCTCCCTCCACACGCATGCGGAGCACTCGTGGGCACCGGCGTCCTCGTCCAGCAGCGGCAGCCCGGCATCCGTGGGCGTCTCGCTGGCAGGAGGCAGCAGCAGATTGGGCTCGTCGCTCCCCGACTGTCCCAAGGAGATGAGCACCATCAAGCACAGCAAGAAGTTGTACCTCGGCATGACGATGCGCGGACACCAGGCAACGCAACTTTTTCTGTTATTTCTCTGCTGTGTTTTACTCCCTTGGTCCTGTTATATCCTCTGTCTCGGATGTGCGCCGTTCCTTGCCTTATCCTACCAAAGGCAGGGAACCAGTGACATGCGTCTAATCCAACACGCTCAGCCCAAAGTTGCTGGTTTTTTGCAGCTGAAGCCTTTGCAATAAATTCTCCCAAAAAAAGCAAGAAAAGTGCGTTCCAGTGTTTCTCGGTACAGGCTGTTTGGATTGAAAGTGAACTAATTATCTTTCTGATGCATGCACAGCCTGCTCACTTGTAGTAGGATATAGGCTCTATAATGGCTGTTTTGTGGGTCTCCTGTACAATTTAGTCCGTGGAGGTGTGTGAATGTTCAGAAGTGTCACTGAAGAATGTGCAAGTGCGGTCAAAAAGGGGCTCTTTATATATCTCAGCTGCCCGGTGTCGTAATCCGTCTCCATTGGCTAAGATTGCAACAAAAGGCTTTTAGGTCTGTCACCAAGTCAAGAGGGACAGAGCGAAGGGAGGGTGCGCGCACTGTTATGAGAGTATAAATGGTTTTACAGTCACAAACAATGTCTTACATTAGACATGTTGCCAAATGAAGTGTTTATGATGCTGTCTTCAACTACTGCGCTTCTTGTTTTAAATTATTTTAATGAAGCAAATCGGAAAAACGACGCATGGATTCTCCCAGAGATCTCCACATCCGCACACAAAACACACGCATCTGTTTATGCTGCATTTCATGATACAAAAAGTCACTTTAGTTGAATCTTCATGAGCTGATAAGATGCAGAATAATTGGATCTTTCACGAGGTTTTTACTTTAAAAGGAAGGATTTTAAAACGGAGCGTGAAAGTCTCCATATGAAGCAGGAGAGTGTTTGTCCTTCTTTACAAACTGGGCTCAATCCTGCATCATTAAACTTTTAAAATGCACAGTGCTTTAGGGAGCATGGTCAAAATCAAATCAAATCAAACAATTTGTTGATATATTAATAGGTTGTGCAATAATACAGCAGCAGCATGTCTGCATAGTTTTTCATTTACAGATCTGCTTAAAATGCTATGTGAACTTAATGAAATGAATGAAGTCCAAGTGAAGGGTTTATAAGTTTTTTTTTAACTTTATATAACCTTATATATATATTATATAATATGACTCGTATTTCATCTATGAACCCACAGTACATGAAAATCTCTCAAGATCTAAACACAAATGTTGTGCTGCAAGACTTCATTGTGAGATATTGTTTTCACGACTGTACACATGTAAAATAAAAGTTGTGTTAATTGTGGAACAGAGTTTTAAGAGCATTGAGTCTCCTTCAGTCTCTGTGGCGTCACTGACCCACTAGTGTCATCTGCTGGAAAAGAAATGCAGTTGCAGCTGTAGATCATGATCCAGTGAGTTCTTCATTTCCCCTTAAAGGTCCAGTGTGTAAGATTTTGGTAAAAGGGAACTATTGGCAGAAATTTAATGTAGAATGATCCTCATGATGTTTTCAATAGTTTCTTTCATCTAAATTGTACAAATTGTAGTTTTCTTTACCCCTGCTGCAACATGCAACTTCAACACTCCATATGACTAAATTCCACACACTTTAAGTCAAACTATTCTTACAATGTTATTCATTGACTTGACAAAACGTTATGTGCTGCAGATTGACAATGTGGTGGTACATGGGTAAGTGGTGGGTCATACAGATTATAGTGTTGGGCGTTTCCCCTCCACTCATGTCACTAAGTGCGATAAAAACTATGCCCATGTTTGTTGTATTTAATTCATGGATGTAAATGAAAAGAAAATCAGACCTGACTTGCTATGTTCATTATTAGCATCAAATGAAAAACTCATAGTATCTTATTTCCACATGCTTATTGATATATATGAATCCTAAATCAAATCATATGACCAGTGCTCTTTGCTTGTTGTGATTTCTCATGTCATGTTTTTATGGGGATTGAATGAATGCACTGATTCAGCTTTATTCAGGACCTGCAGTGTTTAGATGTTACTGATGGGACAGAGCTGCAGCATGTCTCAGTCTGTCTCTGCAGTAAGTATCAGCTCTGAGTGATCAAACACTCCCCACAGGCTCTTCTCTGCTGAGACCAACGTGCTGTACATTGCTGATGTGGTGCTCCGCTGTGTTATCTAATCAGACTTACAGTCATGTTATCTCACTGAAATAAAATGCTATCCCAGAGATAGTGTACATTGTGGGCCAATCACATATTATTGAAAGCACGTTTGCATGAGGGTGGAAGAGACAAAGAATTGAATGTAAGTGATTAGTATTTCTGTGTACCTCATAGCTTTTTTACTGTACATTCTTTACCAGGTACCTCTGCATATAGTACTCAAAAAATATAAAACTCACCTGAAAGTACCAAGCAGAAGTGGTGGAAGGAGATCAAGTTGAATCACCTCCTCCCTTTTTCTAAAACAGGTTCAATAAAAAAAATTAGATTATGACAGATGGCTTAATGTAGGACTGTTATTAGTTAGTTTGAGGTCTTTAGGTGCTCCAATAATTAGAATGGTGGTGCTTCCCGCTCCTCACCCTGAACACCTGCTGTTGCTCTATCGATTTTTGATCAGGTACAATCTCCTATAAGTGTGTAACTGACTCATAGTCTCGGCTTAAACTGTCAGAATCAGACAGAAGTTCAAGATGTTTATACGTGCATATGTAAATGAATGGTACTGACAAAAACTTTTCATATCAGTCCATTGGATCGCCTCCTCCAGTCGAGACATGGCAACAGTGACTATAATGTAATCCTATGGGGGAAAGTTACAGTGAACAAAATGAACATTAGAAGTCTGGCTCAAATTGTAATTCTGGGCATTCTCTGGCATGGAAACAAATCCAATGGTTCATTAACATTGTACATATCAGACAATGATTCACCTATTTCTCTCAGTGAGCTCCAAACTCACCTCTCCAACTCTCTCTCTCACTCATGTCACAACCCAAGTCTTACAAGACTAAATATACAACTGAAAGAACAGCATTTATCAAGGATTTCTTTTTAAATATGAATAATTCTAAACAGTTTGGTGTATTTGTTACAGCGACAGCTTTTCTGATCCAGGAGGCTGGGGATCACAGGTAATACTCCATTTCCAGGTGTGTTTCATTATAATGAGATGGATCACCTATGGAGCAATTGGCTTGATTTTTCTCTACATGAATAACACTTAAAGGTTCAATGTGTAGAATTTAGTGACATCCAGTGGTGAAGTGTCATGTTGCAGCTGAACACCCCTCACCTCACCCTCCCCTTCCAAACATGAAAAACAACCTGTGGTAGCCTTCAGATGTCAAAAACTCAAAAGGTGTTTACTTTGTCCAGTTTGGGCTGCTGTAAAAAACATGACGGCCAAATCCTCTGCTGCGTTGATCACATGATTTTGTTTACAGCACCCTGACATCGTCTTCAGCTCTTACCACCACAAACTCTTGACGTCTTTGTTGGTGTCTTCTATGTGTATGGCACCGCTTTTTCAACGGGATATATTTGTTTCGTTTTTTGTTTTTTCATTTTTGCAACTGTCAGGTGTTAGAAGCATCATCAACCCCCCCACTTGCTTGCAGTGAGTCCAGTGGGGGATCCTCCTGGTGGGGGTAAACATCAATTTCTCCTGGATTTCTATGGACTTCATACTCGGTCAGTCGGGGGCATCGAAGTGGGGCTGAAATCCAGTGACCTTATCTACTGCTCGGTTGCTTAACAAATGAGTTGAACTCAAAGCTGTTAGATGAATGTTGTGAAGTAAAAAGTTGAATATTTCTAAAATACAAGTAGATCAGAGGTTTGCTTGAGTAAATGTACCTTCTCTTCTTAAACCTTCAGCCTCACCTGACAGGCCTCGTTGTCATGGATCAATTTCAGCACGTGGGACCTGACATGCGCCATGTTGTGGATCAGAACAAACAGCAGCAGCCTGTGACTCCTCTCTGATCTCTCCTTCCTCTGAGGAGGTGGGCGGAGTGAGGGCGGAGTGAGGGCGGTGTGGTCCTGCGTGGCTCCCGTAGATCAGGGCCTGGGCGTCGACACTGAGCTCCGTGGTGTTATATACAGTCTATGTGTTGAACGCTGCTGCGTAGGAATCAAACAGCGCGTCACATCACCCAGAGAGCACGGAGGTGTCTCTTACATAAACCGGAGGCTGAATATAAAACGAACAAGATGCTCTCCGCCACGCTGGACACCAGTGCCTCTCCGAAGAAGCGGACGTTTTCTCGGGGGCTGAGCGAGGACGAGTCGCTCCGCAGCATAATCAAGGAGGTGAGCGGAGAAATCCCTGCTAGTCAGAGGGGTGGTCCAGAGCTAATGCTAATGCTACCACTGTTTACCCTCCAGTCTTAGTGGTGTCAACATATTTACGTCAGAAGAGTGAATTCAGGGAACGAGACGTGAAGCTTGGATGTCATTTTAACCGACGGACTGAAGTAAACCTTTGTTTTTGTTCAGGCCTGCGTCTTGTCCACCCCACTTCCTTATTTACAAGCTAACTCCTGTAAATAAGGAAGTGTAAACAAGCTAACACCTGTGTTAGCACGTAAATAAGGAAGTGTAAACAAGCTAACACCTGTGTTAGCACGTAAATAAGGAAGTGTAAACAAGCTAACATCTCGTGTTCTTGTTTTGTTTGGTTCTGGCAACATGAGAGGATTCTGGGCTCTATCTCAGGTGTGTGTGTGTGTGTGTGTGGTCCAGGTATTAATCATGTTGAAAAGACCTACATTTGTTTACACAGTCACAATTTTGGGACTTGTTTCACCTATTGACACAAACTGCAAGTTCCCATAATGATAATTATGAAATTCCAAAGTGAAGACATGTTTTTAGGGTTAGGAAAGCAGTAGTTATGGTTTGAGTAAGTCCCCAGGAAATCAATATAAGTCAATGTAATGTCCTCTGAAGTCATGGAGACTGTGTGTGTGTCCTCAGACGGAGAGTTCTTCCAGGCGTGCGACACGAAGCGACAGCCGTGCAGGCACCCTGAAGAGGAGGACTGACAGCCAGGTAGGAGCCTCAAATCTCCAGCACGAGTGGACTGAAGTGAACTCTCTCCTTATCAACCCTGATCAATCCCAGCTCACACCAGTACTTTATAACTTGTACTTGTTTACACTTCAGTCTACTTAACAGCTACTTCTCCTCTGTCTCAATATCAGTTTGCATACTAAATGAATCTCGTGGCAGACATAATTCAAAGCTAGTGCACATTACTCAGCCAATGCCTTACATTTCCCTTGTGAGCCACATTTAGATTCACTAGATTCCGATTTGTTTTCTTCTTTCACAACCAAATAGAGTTTGTGTAGTTGATCCATGTCACTGTTATTTATAGAAAATCTGAAGTCAACTTGACTTTTAAAAATAAAACCATCTCTGGCTATTTTGTCTGTAATTGAACACATCTAAGGTTAAATACTGTGAAAAGACAAATGAGTTAACTGGGAAGAAATCAGCCAGTGTCATATAGCTGGCGTCGTGACCTAGTTATCTCCGCCGCTTTCTTCAACCTGATGAAATAGAGCATTAGGTTTTTTCAGAGTTTTGCGCTCTCCGAGCGTCCTTCTTGTGTCAGCTGTTATTGCTACACCAGGCATTTCTTTCACACTTAATCTGATACTCTATTTCCAGAGCTGTTATCAAACATGGTGTCTTGAAAGTATTTAGATATGGTCACAGATTTTGATCACTGTTTCTGTGTGCCTGCCAAACCATGTGTCAGATTTCAATGACACGAGAGGGTCAAGCACATGAACAAATAATATAAACCAAGGGTTGACTAGGTGAACCAAGTGTACCATAAATACTATAACTGTTTGGTAAATTACTTGCACTTGGAATATATATATATATACAGTATATATATATATATATATATATGTGTGTAGTTGAAGCTGTAGCAGTTAAACGTTGTTCAGCTGTCATTCAATTTATTAACGACATGTGTTTTTCTTACTGTGACATTTTAAAAATAATATCTGTGAAAAGGATTTAAACTGGAGGCTGTTATCCATGATATCATCAGAATTAAGGAGCATCTTCGTTACAGAAACAGAATCTCAAAATGCTTTTTGGTTGAATAAAGTATTAAATCACAAGTTATGCATGCACATGGGTTCTCATGGCTTTTAGACTATCTAATCCTTTTATATTGGTTTCCCTAATAAAAGCTTGAAATCTGAATCAACTGCATGGTAATTTTAACTGGCTGGATTTTCAACAAACACCTCATATATCTGCTTATGTTATTTTTACTTGTATGGATGAGAGTACGAACAGCGAAGTATCCTCTAAACCCTCGTAGATCATTGTTTGTTCATTTAAATGAATCCAAATAAATAAATAAAAACTGTTTGAATTTTTCTTTTATCATGTTTTTTCCCTTTCAACAGTCTGAGCAGGATCTCCTCATGGGACTCCCAGACATGGTGACTATTTCTTACTGTTACTCTTGTTATTGTCTCATCTTTGTTATAGTTATATACGACGATGGTTGTGGCTATGTAATCACAGTTCTGTCAGGTATTGTATTAGATTGTCATGTTTCCAGAAGAGGCCTCCCACCTCTGAGAGCTCACTAAGCACTTGCCCTCCCACTGACTGAACACATACCTCTAAAATTGCCCACACTTATTTTCAACTGTGTTTGTGGCGTAGCTGGAGCTGCAGGCCAGCTATGACGAGGTGGTGCAGGAGCTGCACGGGCTGGAGGTCGAGCGAGAGGCTCTGTTGTTCCAGGTGGACGTTCTGCAGGACACGCTGGAGGGTGTGGAAGAGCTGCTGGCTGAGGCCCAGAGGGAAGCTGGACAGGCTAGTTTGGTACGTCAAGGCCTCACCATCACTGACACAACTCTTCCCTTTAAATACTTCAGCCATATATGGGCATATAGTATTTGTCCTCTTGTGATGCGACTGTCTCTCTGAATTTGTAGGAGTTGGAACAAGAGAAAGCGGCCAAGAGGAAGCTGGAGAGCATGGTCAGCTCTCTGATGCAAGAGGTGGAGAGATTAAAAGAGGTAATGTGACAAGTGAAATTAGAATATTACACAACATTACATTGTATTAGTGAAAGGTTTTTACATGTTACATTACATTTTACATTTATAAAGAGTTCTGATCCAATTTTCCCTTAACTGATACCAATACATGGACTTTGTGTATCAGGTAAAACTAAGTACTAATTAGATACCTGTGCATTTTAAAACTAAAACAACCCATATGAAATATTTTAACAGCTGTATGCTAAGAATCCTGTCTTGAAGTTATCATTTCTACCATTGTACTCGGGTTTTAAAGCCTTTGAACAAATACATACAGAGAATGAATGACATAGACTTATTATCGAGTTTTTCATAAAAATAATACAAGTAAAGCTAGGAATACACAATTCAACAATTACTTCCCTTTTAGTTCAATTTAAAAAGGCAGCGATTGGTATTAAAATGCATGAAATACATTTTTTTTAGTAGTAACATGTTTTTTCTCTGATGGTCGATTACACTTCTCTGTGCAGGAACAAATTAAAGCACCTGCTCAAGTGAACACTTATGAAACTGAAGACGAGGCAATGGAGCAAGGATGCCAAATGAAAAACCATGAGGCCAACGAGCAGACTCAAGACTCATGCAGAGAGGAAATTGATTTTTCCGCATGTGAACCTCACAGCAGAGGCCAAGCTTCTGAGGAGGTGAAGCAGGGCGATGGAGCAGGGGATGAAGGAAGCCTCCTGACAAAGCTACGGAAGATGGTCAACAAGCCTCTGGGCCACATACCCTCTCTCGCACTGGACAACCCTCTCTCTGAAGACGGTGTCCTCTGGAGGCATTCCGAAAACAGCAACGACAATGGCCAAGATGAGTTACCGGACACAAACGACTCAGACACCTTAAGTGCCTATGAAGATGCGTCTGATGACACTCCAGAGCAGGACAGGATCTTTCCAGGTGATGGAGACTGTGTGGACCTGCCTGATGATTCAGAGAACAAAGAGCGAAGTCCAACCAACAATGGTCAAGTCAACAACAGTGAGACCCAAGACCCCCAAAACCCTGATGTCTGCATTGTGTCTTAACTTTACCTGTTTTTATCAATGACTGGGGAAGATGACAAAAATTATTATTGATCTATTGGTGAAATTGAAGAGCTCTTTGATTCACAGTTTAACCAAATCTGATATTCATATTCTTAGAAAATTTTTGAGGCTAATGGCAACAGCTAGGGTTGCCTTAATTAAAGCTCCAATGATACATCAACTAGTTGATTGAAGAAAACTAACCTGATTTCCGTACTTTTAAAAGCAAAAATGCCAAAACATTCACTGGTTTTAAGATTTCTCAAATGTGAGGATTCACTGCTTTACTGTATCTTTGGAAAATTGACTACTTTTGGGACGAAATGAGCTATTTGGAGACATTGTTCAGGCTCATTATATTAGACCTTTTATAGATCGATTGTAATAATTTACAGATTAATTAAGAAAGAAAATAGTTGTTTGTTGCAGCTCTAGTTGTAAAACACAAGTAGAAAAGTAAGATTCAGTTCCGAAATTCAAAACAAAGAAACTCAGGATTCAGGTGGTTTACCAGCCAGAACTCCACTCATGGGTACTTAATTTTTTTTACCACTGATATCTTTTTAATGTCTTATATTTCTTTTTATGCTGATAAACATGGAAAATGCTCTATGCTGCTTAGGGTTTTTTTTTTAGAATGTGTGTTTGTACACTAACAGCTGCCAAGACAAATCAGGATTTCCCTGTAGACAAAATACAGTGAACTATGTAAGTGTGTGAACAGGGACTGATGCTGTTATGACTCCAATCATAACTGCACATTTAAAAACACACGACTTTAGAGACAGTCTGAACATTTAAACACTTTCAGCTTGTTACAGTTTAATTTCAAAATGGGATGAGCCTTGGGGAAAATGTCCAGAAAATTTGGTGTGGAGTATGCATCTCACATATTCATATTCTTACGTACAGCCCCATTTCAGGAGAATGTCCAGAGTTTAGTACATGTCTGAAAACTGCAATGCGGTAAAATATTTTGCAGGTCAAATATTTGGACTGTCTCCATTTGTAGGACTCACTGTAGAAGATTTTTCCATGGATGACATTAGCCTTTGACACCTAAAATCAGATTGTGATTGTCAATAAATGAACAAGAGAGGGATTTTTTTCTATAAAAGGGGAACACTATCTATTTACTGCCACACTGAGTCCATAAGAACTTTTTACCTGTTTAATTTGCCCCCTACTTTAGTTTGAATTTTGTAGAGAATTGATTTTGCTGCATTTGCACTTTCTAAAGATTTTGTAATGTGTCATGGATTTGTCAGACAATATTACAAACAACATTCCCTTTACTACCGTGCACGTCAGCGAGAGATGAGAAGCCAACCTGCCGCAGGCTGTCATCTCTCGGCCTGCATGCCTCTTGTATGTTTGCACATTTGCAGTGAAACTTGCTGAAATTAGTCTCTTTAGATGTCTTAAATTGCTGTACACACTTTGTATTTAATCAGAATTTTGTATGTTTTTTTACAATGTTACGTTTCTTTTTTATTCTTGAAACAACATTAGACCCTCTCACCTCATTTGTGATAGTTTGCATGAGCAACTACATTGTTTCTAAACAGCACATGAACAAATTGAACTGCCATTTAATAGTACTTTTGCATGCAGTGCTTTAACAGACATGTATTGAATAATACCTGAACTGAAGAAATCATTCATTTCTCAGCCTCTAAGATGGATCTGTCACATACAGACATGTTCTACTATGACAGGCTCAAATGAGCTTATGGAAGGTTACTGTAATTTTAATGTGCTGGTTATTTATGTTGATACATACAATACACTCTGTTTCCTATTAGGTCAAAGGGTTCTATTTTGTAATGATACAGAAAATTGACGCCACTCTGAATCACACTGCTAAATCGTCATTTTCTAAAATTCATTGAGGGGAAACCTTTACCTTTGATACTGGGAGTGTAGTTTGAGCTCATAGCAGTGATTGTTTTGATATTCAATAAAGTAATCAAGTTGTTTTTGTGTTTACTTTCAGACGACAATGTTACACATCAGCTCTCGGTGTAATTCATGTGATCTATGGGGCTAAATATTATTTTACTTGTCCTCAGCTTTGAATTGAATGTTCAGATGTGACAGTAAATTACTTGATATAACATTCCAGACATATCAAAATAAAAGGAGTTGATAATGATGGTGTGCGCTCCATTGATATGCTTTCTCTCTTTCTATCTATTTCTATGTATATAATGTGTGTGTGTCTTTTTTCATAATATATTCATAATATCCGTTTTGTAATTTTCATGTACTTATATTTATTTCAATTTTAAAAAATGGCTAAAAAGTTACAAATTGTAGGACAAGATGATTTGTTATCCATTCCTGTGAAACCTTCATAGGAACAGCAGTAGATATTTAACAGTTTCTAGAAAAACTCATCATCACTACCTCTGCTCCGTGTGTGCTCCTGCAGATTAGTTACATGCTGTAACAATTTTTGACCAACAGAGGGCAAAGTAGATCTGTAGTTACAGGACAAATCATTGCTGTTACCATTTTGGTTGTTCAAAGTTAAAGAAAGTTGCACAAAGTGTTATTGCTGCGCTTAAAATTTTTTTACTGCAGTGTTTTAAAGAAATGTCTGCTTTTTATGGTTATTGTCCACACACATGATGATAGGCAGTACAGTTTTTTATATTGTCAGACTGAGATTTCAAATTATGTTATTACAAGAGCTACTACACATTAAATTTAATTAAGAATCAAAACTGGTATCAGAGCTATTTAAAACAAAGTCAATAAGGGGAGGGGGACATACAGGCAGGACGTTATGTTGACTTTAAATCTAAAAAACGATAAAATATCAAAACATTCCTTTTTCTTTCTTCAGACTGAGCTGTTTCCACTGTGGCAGCCGCACAAAGTTGTCTTTGCTGATCCCAAACACGCTGCGGAAGTCAGAGTCCGAGAGGTGTTTCTGAAGAGCAGTTCATAAAACACAGGCTGATTAAGAAACAACCAGAGCAGATTATGTCTTCAGGTGTTGCAAAGCATCATGGTAACACCTTACAACAAAATAACTGTAGCTTGAGGATGATTATTAAATAATAATAATTAGAACTGAATCAAACTTGGTAGATATTGATACCAACTGAAACAATATAAACAGATTATTTCCACATTGGATTTTTATAAGATCTCTGAAGGAAATTCTATTTTCTATTTTTACTCAGCATGTCTGACGGTTCTGCACTAAAGACAAAAACTATGTCTTCTAGCTTTCTTCATCCAGTGTTTGCCATGACTGGTTAATTCATGCACATTTAACTGTTCCAGGGAGAAAGTGCACAAACATGGCTTCCTGAAGTTGTAAGTTGTCCTTGTCATCAGAGACCTTTGGGGGACTTACACAGACTTACATAAGAAAATCTACTTTTGCCTACACACACACAAACCTAGTACTTCTATCTTTGTGAGGACACTCACTAAAATAATGTATTGTCTGTCCCCTAATACTAACCATCACAACTAAGTGGTTAACCCTAAACCTGACTCCTACTCTAAAGGCAAGTCTTATCCCTCAAAGCCAACTGAAAGAGGGTCAGGACGTGAGAACTGGGACCGGCCTGAATGTCCTCACTTTCCAAAAATGTCCTCACTTTCCAAAAATGTTCTCACTTTCCCAAAATATCCTCACATTGTAAGGTCAAGGCTTGAAATGGTATTCACAAGGATATCTGTTCAAGAACACACACACACACACACACACACACACACACACACACACACACACACACACACACACACACACACTCTCACCTCTTTCTGGGTTGGGTCCACACCTTCAGGCAGTTTATTAGCGAGCTTGTTGACCAGAGCCTCCGGTGGAAAGGACATAAAGTTTTTCTCACTTTCAACACAGTTATGCTCCTGAAAAAAATTCCATTGAAGAGAACATTACTTTACATAACTTAATTCATCTAATGTATTACTTGTTTTGACATATGAAAAGACAAAATCTAAACAACATTTATGGAAACATACATGTTGTCATAAATCCAATACATATTCAAGGTTGAGAAAATTAATTTATATTAATTCTTAATGTATGCCACATTATTGTCGAGGATTATTTACAAAAATATAACTTCTTTAACCAAAACATGGTCACATTTTGGTGTCTACCCTAAAGTCAATGTAAAGTGCCCAGCACACCATGAAGTAAATAACTGTGTAGGATAAAAAACATGAGAAATGAATAAGATGTTACTTACAACTGTAATGTGAACGCTAGACACTTCATCTCCCAACTCTTTCTTCAACTCCTCATAGCTTTTTCCTCCCTAAAGGAAAGACATTTGTTCAGTGTGTGTGTTTTACTCATCAATATAAATGTTCAAGCCCTTGACTGAAACACTCACGCTCCATTTGGAGGGATCCCAGGCTGTGAACCACCCAGTGAAGGTGGGCGGCTCGAACCCTTGCTTGACCAAGACGATGGGGGTGTCTGGATCTCTGTTGCCTGGGTGGGTGTGCAGGTACTCTTGGCTCGTGACCACTGCTTCTTTGCGCTCAACCTCGTTTGCCTCTTTACCGGTCCAGAAAAACACCTGAAGACGGGGCAGAGTTATAGGAAAAGAAATATCCACAGGAGTTTTGTTTGGCTGTTTAGCTTCAGACTTTGTAATTGTCACAGACAGTCACCTCATACCTGGTCCCATGTGTCCAGTAACATGACATCATCCTCACTGAGGTCGTCCTGTGTGAACTGAGTCACCTCAGTCACAATGAAACGACCTGTTTTATTGGAGCATTCAAACAGACGTGGCTGGTGGTCTAAAACCTCCTGCTGGAGCCTGCACACAACAACAACAACACATAACTTGCAAAACAGTAGAAAAACAAATGGGTTTTCAGAAAATACATGAATATTCAAGTGCAATATTATGGTATTAGTATTTATTCATCACCTCTTGTCATTAGCATATGGAGCTTTGCCTCCAAGCAATTCCCAGAATTCAACAGGCTCCTGGCCCTCTGCGACAATCTCCTCTGCACTGTTCTGGCCAATTGCAGAGCTGACCTCCTTCGCCATGGCCCTCTCATCTCCACTACATCCCTGGTAACACAAATTACACCTTTTCAATTATAGTAATAGTGCTGAAAGTCAATTAACATCAAAATACTGAGAAAATGTTTACAGGTTTAGTGTTTTGCCCAAAAAAGCTTTGACAGGGTAAATACTTACATCATATGGACAAACAAGTAACACAAATACATGATTGTTGAACACCTCAGTGCAAAACCAAGAACATTATTTGCTATTTTAACAGCCTCAGCCTCTCTGGGCTTTGCTCCAGTTTTTGGAGACGGGCTGCAGAGGTTTAAGTCACAAGATCATTTGTTCAAGTTCACTGCAAGTGTGTCTGATGCGGTTGAGGTGTCAGGGCTCTGTGCAAGCCAGTCCTGCACAGACAAGCTGAGAGGAAATGATCTTTCCCAAAAACACTGTTGTCTAAAGGTCAATTCCAAACCATGAAAAACAGTTCTTATGCAACAGCAAAGAAAAAGTGTGGGTGTCTACATACTTGGTCATGTAGTATATTTCTATTTGATTTAGATTTTATGGTACAGTAACATTACAAAATGAATGATCCAAAAGTATAATATTGTATCATCACCCATCGTTCTCTCTCTTATCTAAACTCCCTCTTCATTACCTTCCCACACCACAGATAGAGTCCTGATTGGCTCCATAGTAAAAACACATCACTGGAGTTGAGGGAGGTGGCCAGGGCTGGGACCTCAATGGTTTTAGTGTTGGATGGGTCAGAGCCGTGGACCTGAAACAGTCTGACCGGAGGCTCTGGGTCAGAGGCTCCTTTTCTAGATGTGCCCCCCTTCAAGAAAAGAACAGTCATATTCTTTACTGTTGTAAAAAAAAGACATCATAGATTTATATATATTATATTACATAAATAGAGATAATTATAATGGTGGTACCTCAAAGATGACCATTTTACCCTTGAAAATAGCCATAAAGTGTCTTGGTTCTTTGCCCATGGTTACTCTCACTTGGACTGGCTGGCCACCATGTTTCTGATCCAAATCCACAGCCTGAAATGCTGAGGCTGCTATTTCATCCAGTGTGGCATGACGCCCCTAATACATGTGTCAGAATAGTTCATTTTATGATCAGAAAAATCCAACGCAGCGCCAGCGTAGGATAAAACTTTATTTTTTTGATTATGACACAGTTTGTTAAAGCAAACCCTCACCTGCCATATGTAGAGCAGGTAACACTGCTTGTTGTTAACCAGGTACGTGTAGAGGATCAGGTAGCAGTCTCCTCCATAGAAGTATCCGTGTCTTTTAGGATCCACAGGGACGAGCTCCAGATTCTCAATCCTCCAAACCTGAGAACATCAGAAAGGTAAATTCAGTCGGAAACACAAACGGCAGGAAACATCACTGTTGCCACAATCCAGTGATGTCTAGAGTTTTCACAATACTCAAGAGTTCTCGTGATATTCACGAGTTTTCATAATCAGCAGTTGCTAATAGGAGGATCACAGCAGATGTTTAAGCTAAAAAACATGGTGTAAGTACCTCAACTTTACCCTGGCCATTGTCCACCATTCGCTCCTGTGCTGCAATTTCCGGCATCACATGCATCAGAGAGGCATCAAATTTCTCCTGTGTGATGTTGGCTGCAGCAGACATGAAACAATAAATCATGAATCATCAACCAAAGTTGTTATTCAGCTTGCTTGTTGTATTTTTGTGGATTAAAGAATACATAGGCACTTACCCACTTTCCCTTTCGTGTATGCTTTGCCCAGACCCTGAGTCTGGTCTTTGACTGTCCACCTCTGGAACAGCTGCTTGAATAGAGCCGACTCTGCTCCGTCATTCACTGTCTCGACATTTGTAGTGTTGGGGTAGTTTTTTACCTTGATGAACTCCTGTACCAGCCAGTCAAATGCAACATAGAAAACACGTCATGTAAGATGAGTCAAACACAAGGTGGTGGTATGTGGTGTCACTCACCAAAGCTCTGGCCATCGCAGCCTGTCTTTCAGCTTTGTTTGCCTTCTTTCCCTTCCATACAAAGATCTTGGTCCCCCCCTGGTCCAGGAGGTAGCAGTCCTAAAATGATAATTACATTAGGTGTACAAAATCTACTTAGTC